CACCTTGCTGGGATCATTTGACCCCAGTACTCTTTCCTGCTACGGCAGGGGGTTGGACTTGATGATGTGCTCAGGTCCCCTCCGACCCTAGTAACTATGAAACTATGAAACTCAGCATTGCCGCCAGCTTTGTGTCCAGCCGTTTGGCACCCCTCCCTGTGCTGCTGAATCCACCACCGGCTTCCTCGCATCCAGGGTATTCAGGGGCGGGGCCCTGCACAGACTGCTTTGCCCTGGGCCCCTCACCCTGCTCGGGTCATCTCTGCATGTGAGGATGGAGAAGGGGGACAACAATTCAAAGTTCAGGTTGTGGACTTTCTCTGCTTATAAGAGAAGACCTTTAAAGTAAATTTAATATCTCAGTGGTTGCCAGCCAAAGATCTGATTATCTGTCCATTTTAGTGTGCTAATCACCAAGTTGTGTAAGCATCCTCATGGCATCTTAGCACTAGTATGTTGGATACTCTGTAGCAGTGGTTCTCAACCTGTGATCCACGGGCCACGTGCGGCCAAATCAGCACACTGCTGTGGTCCACATCATCCTATTAAAACAGTTTTAAAATAGATACACAGGAAATAAGTTGTGTGTGTGCAACCCACATAACGCATTGAGAACTGCACGTGTGGCCCACTATGGCAAATAGGTTGAGAAACACTGATCTACAGCAATCTACAGAATTCTTGTTAAATTATATATAGAAAATAAATAGAAAGTTCTAAAGAGTGCAGTAATCCAGATTTCAGATGTGGTATAATGAAAGCATAAATTAATAACTGAGTGCATCCCTTATTAGCCAATCTTGCTGGTTACAGAGATGATAACATAAGGATTTTATAACTCAAGCAAATAAATGGAGCCTTGAACAAACAGCTCAGGATTCAAACTTTTGAAAGACGAAGTAGTTTTAGTAGGCTCTTTGGTCATTTTACTAAAAAAAGAATTACAAAGGGCAAAGCAGCATCTTTCCAAAAATGACACAATCAGACAAAAATCTGATTTTCTGAGGTTGTATTAAATTCATGAAATGTTCAGAATGTCACTTAGTCAAGTTATAGAAAGCCCCCTAGTTGACCTCAGATAGGAAAACAAAACAGTGTATCATACACATAAAGTGGTACCAAAAATATGTCTCTTTGCCCGTACAGAAAAGAAACTGTACATAGAACAACATACGTTCAAGTATTGAGACTTGTGGGAGTCTCCAGACATTTGAATCTGATTGGAAAAAAACTCTCACAAAATAATAAACTGGGAGTCATTTTCTGATCTTCTCCAGAATCCCAGTCTGCTGCATTTTACCAGCAGGGATAAAGAAGGAAAGCTTTTAAGTCAGCCAGCATCAGATTGATTCATAAAGCAAACAGCAAAAGTATTATGAGGCAAGCCTGCATGTTATGATAGACATCTAGGAGTACTCATCTTTGGCAGTCTATCCATCTTTGGCTAAAGGGGTGGAAACTCTGGTTTGTTTCCCTGGGTAATGTATAGAATTCTGTTCATACTCCAACTCATTTTATGTGGCCATAGGGAGCCAAGTCAGGACTTAAAATTAGCTGTAATTTTTGTTGATCAGATAGTATGATGGGCCAGCTTATTTTTTTTCCATGACTGTTGTAGGAGATCTATATGACAACTATAGGCAATTCTCTTTGTGTTTAAACCATTTGTAAGGTAGGTGGATTTGATTCATTTTTCATTTCCAGCTGTCTGCAGAGACAATTAGCTAGTGACTGAGAGATTTCCTTTATGAAGGTGACTTACAAATGCTGCTTTATTTTACATTTAGAAAGTGAGTTCTCTACTTGATATTCAAGACAGGGTAAAGGGGCATTCTGCAACTGCTTTATTCTAAATACACCTTTTAAAATTCTTTTAGGGGAAGTACTACAAATTCATAGTTACTGTGGACCATACTGGCCCAAGAAAATTGCAGTTTTAAAAGACATGTTTAAAAAGTTTAATGAATTAACATGAAAACCCTATTATAAACTACAAAACCTATTTGGTAGTTTATACTATGTTTGATAAGTCTCATTTAACTGCTCTAAAGGCTAGCACAGTTTTAGCAGCTGTGGCATTAATGTATATTATATAATATGTTGGCAGATGAGATTTTGCAGGCCAGAAAATTTTTAAACGGTATATTTAGACTCATGTCATCATATATCCCTTCTAGGACAGTCACAGAAAGGGGGAAAGTAGAATGGGCAAACAAGTCAATGTGAATCCAGCTCCTGTGTGAACATCAAGCTTTATCTTTTATTTGTATTACTGAAATGCCGAGTCATGAACCAGGATACTAATGTTGGGCACTATAGAAAAAGGCACTATAGAAAAAGATGGCCCCTTCCTCACATACTTTAAAAGGTAAGAAAACCAAGAAGATATTGAGTATGCTAGGCAGTGGTCTCAGCATGCCATCCATTTTAACTGTAACTGTATTGAAGGACTTTGCTCATAAACATTACATAAAACTGCCATTAACATAAATAGAATTAAATCTCTTACCCATGGAAAGTGCCAAACTTTACTTCCTTTTAGCTAAAGATATATGGATTGCTAGAGATGAATGTTTCTGGGTGGGTGTCATGATATGAGGTGCTTGTACATGAGTGCAGAAGCTGCTCTGATACACTATAATTACAGCATGTTGGAACAGATTCACTTAAGCTTCCCATGTCTTGTGTATTAGTGTCCACGTGCTTCAAAATGGTGTCAGGGGTGCTTGAACTAAAGCGCTGTCTCCCCATGCCTCCAGAGCACCTGTAAAAGTTTTTGGTGTTTCATTGACAGTTTCTCTGAACATAATGTCCAAGGTTTTGATGCCTTTTGTCTCCAAGTAGGTATTGTAAAGAATGTGATCTCTGCTATTTCTAGTGTTTTGCTTTGAAAGGGATTAGTTTAAAATGTCAAAAGCAATTGCTTAAAATTATTGTTTAAAGTTTTCTTAGACCAATTTACTTGATCTTTTAAAGGAGAAACATGCATTTAACATTATTTAAAATCCAAAATATGGTTTGTGAAATCTCACTAAAGATAGTGCATGCTCAACAAGGTAGAGATGATAAACTGCTGGATTTGGAGGAAGGAAGGAGACAGAAGCTCCATTTATCTTCCCTCCCTGATGCTATCTATTTCTTCACTGGTTTTCTGCAGGATTTGAGCATTATGGATGGGGACGATGTTGGGATTAAACAGGGTCTGATTTACACAAGACAGCTACTCTTAGATGGGAGTTGTTGAGTAGTTAATGTTCAAGTCCTCCGCATATTTACTTGCTTTCCCCCTATGTACTCTCTGTGGGAAGGTTTGGTGGCAATCTCCTTTTACAGTGCATTGGTGTAGGTTTGCAAGGCTGGGAGGTCCAGAAGACCGGGCAAAGAGAGACGGCCTTTGTGCAGATGGTTCCGACTTCCAACAGATTCCATGGGAGCCATTGAGACCTTGGGTGGAAGCCCCTGTTTTTTTCTGCATGTACATTTGTATCTGTGTACATGGAACACACAGAAAATTACCATAGGGTGATAACAAATGGAAAATCATGGCATTTTTTTCTCACAAGCTATGAGTGACCAGATTCTCATGCACATAACGAACCATTATCTGAGTAGACATTAAAAATTAATGGCATATATTAATTACTATTAATCTATATTAATGGCATATAAGTCCATATCGATTTCTTTAAATAAAAGGTGGAGGTTGCTTAATACCTTCTGTTAACACTGTATTTCTTTTTGACATGGAGACTGCTTAATTTTTATTATGTGTAATTTAAAATTAAAAGTATCATAGCACGAATACAAGAAAATTGAAATGTAAAAGCTGTTGTAGGTTGTGTTGCATCACCTATAGATATCACTAAGACATATTTTAAAATATGTCTTTAAATTGCTTATTTCAAAAAGCTCTAAGCTGCAGTAAAAGATTTAAAATGACAAGTTATTTTTCTTAACAGTATTTGAATTAGCAGGACAGTGTGCTGTAATTGAATGAATTATGATTTGATGTCTGGGAAGAAGAAGCAGTGTTGTATTTGGACTAAGAGATTACTTGCTGGCTTTGTCACAGTTGACATTAATTATTGATAGAAGTTTCAGAAATAGCGCATGTGCCGACAGAGTTGACTGTAATATAAGATAGAAACTGCAGTGATGCTAGAGGGATTATAAAGAAGGAAACACCTGTAGAATGTGGACTTCTGTACTTCTGAACATCAGATTTTTAGTTTGCTATGAACTACATTTATGAGTGAGAAAATAATGAAAAAGATGAGTCGCCAAGCTTATTTTTATCGTGTCCCTCCACAGGAACTACACAGAAGAACCCAACTTCAGCCTGAACCAGCAAAAACAAAGGCTCTTCAGACAGTTATAGAAATGAAGGTATGAGTTTTGCATGTTTACTAATACAATGTCTTTTCATTTTAAGTTAATTTAAATTTTGATATTAAAGCATTCATTAAGTGCTAGCTTTTACTACAGAATTTATTCCAGTGTTAAGCAAGGGAACAGTCAGCATTTCTCTCCTCCACCCCCATTCCAAAATTGTCAGAGATCTGTAAAACAGTCAATGACTAATACCTCTTCTAGATGAAAAGCTGAGGCCTACAGTTTCAGGAAAGGTATAAAAATATTCTTTGTCTCCAGGAAGAAAAAAATTCATGTCTCTCCAAAGCCATTTTTGGCAAATAATTCTACCCTCTTTTCACACATTTCCTTAATCAATCACCCACATGTTAAAAAAATAACACGCTGATAAACACTTCAGATTTTAAAAACTTAATTACTGGAAAGGGGAACTATTTATTTATATCTATATAATCTACTTACTATGTAATTAAGGACCTACTTAAATTGTGATGAGACAAAGAGTTTTTCATGGTCTGCTTGCAGTATGCAGAGCCGGTTTTGCAGGCATTTCATGGTGGCCCTGCCCCTCACTTCTGATTGGCCCTGGAAGCCCTGTTTGTCACCGCTGATTGGCACCAAAATACTTTTGCTTTCCTGACTAGTGCCTTCACTTAGTTTGTGTCAGTAGCTCATCCTCTCAGTAATTCTCTCTCAAGTCACATGCTCTATAGCTTCAGTAATGGCTGTGCTTTCTTTGTATTCATAGAAAATTAGGTTTGGAAGGGACCTCAGGTGATGCATCAGGGGGAATGGCGGGGCACATGCTCCCCCTGATTTGTGTGCCCACAGCGGGCACAGGGCTGCAGCCTAGCTGAACCAGCAGGGGCAGGAGCCATTTCTGTAGCCCAGCATGCAGGACTTGGCGTGGGAGGGAGGAGCGGGGTGGCGAGACTCATTGCTTTCACTGCCTCCCCACACACCCACTGTCTGTCCCACACACTGGGGAGCTGGTGTCTGGGTGCAGGGGATAGAGGATTGGGAGTGAGGGGCACCAGCAGAGTCTGTGGGCTGTTTTCTACTTAAACTGTTTACTGAATCAGGATTGGCCATTGATGTTTACAAATGGGTCCTGATACAAAAAAGGTTGAGAACCACTGATCTAGTCCAAAATTCCTCTAAGCACTTTTTTAGGGGGTCAGTTCCATGGGAAATTGCAGCTAATGCCATTTTTTCAGTGATCTCAGAGATCACTGTTTTTTGTTTTCTTTGAAAACGTGAAACTGCAATAAGTAGGTCCCTGTATATAATCATATATAAAAGACTTCCATATTCTACCAGATACAGGATAATTCTACCCTTTTTTTTAATCCTGCACTTCAGTGGCTGCCCTCACTACACCACTGTTACTGTTCTTTGTTAGGAAGGTAGACAAACAGCTTCCTTAAAATTCTGCTTGGTGAAGTTTTCCAAAGGTATTTCAACTTTATAGAAAAGGAGGATACTCTGTGTTTTATATTATTTTACTGATCAGAATATCTTCACCTGTTTGAGGAAAACTTTATTAGTTTCAGTAATAGAAAAAAAATTAGAAACCTGAGCCTAAAAATCCTTGCTCCCATGCAGGTAATCCCTACTTACTTTGATGGCCCTATTCATGCAGGTAAGAGTCTACAGGGTTGGCTTCTATATTTATTGAATAAAGAAGATACTAAAAGAAAACTTCAGGTTTTATTTGTCACAATAATAACTCCTGCTTTCTCCTGGGCTAGCACTGATGTATATAAGGTGTAGGTTCATCAAAGCCTGTGGAGTTCTAGTGATATAAAATCTGTTGTAACTCAAGTCACAATCAGGCCATACCTGAGTGGTTATATAACCTTCTGTATAATTTAGTATACTAAATGGCAGGAAAAATTTCCATTCTTATCTACCCTAATAATGTAATCACAATTCACCACTAATTTTAATGTTTCTGGATTATTTTGGGGCACAAAATTCTTGCATTGTAAATCTTACTCTTTACTGTAGACTCACCCAGTTTACATGAGATCCTAAATACTGTATGCAATAGATTAATTCTATGACACTTTAGCAGGTCACAGCAAAACCTGTGCTATTGCGCTAACGTGCAGTAGAATTGATGTAGCATCACTGAAAAGGTGTGCACAGTAGCACCGGTTACTGCACATTCAGTAAATTCATAAACTTAATGTATGGTACCTACAGCACATAATGCACATGTAGATGTGCCCACTATGTCTGTGATTTGACAAACTTAGCTGTACCAACTATTGTCAAGACCAGCCAAATAAATTCATATAATTAAAAGTATTTTTTAATACCGGCTTTTAAACAGGACTTTGTAGCTGTCATTGTCTATATTTCTGTATAATTTGCTTTTCTTTCGAAGACTATGTTTAATTGTATCTAAACAGTTTCCCTCAATTCATAAGTTTCTAGACTCTCTGCAGCCTACTGGAGGCACAAAAGCATGTGCAAAAATGAACACAACAGAGGATTTTTTTTTTTAATAAGTATTTGTTGAATATTGAGGAACAAATGCCAAATGTTCTAAAGGCAGTTCCAGATGTGCTGAGACCAAAAATTATGAGTGGGTATAGAAGTAAAGTGTAACAGACTATGTCCATATAATGTGCCTTTAAAGAAATTATATTTCTGTTGAAGGTCACTCCCCCATTGCCTACACCTCACTGAACAAGTGTTTACACTGCAGGTAGTTCAGGAATTTGTCCAAAGGGGTGGATTTTGTGACATTGTTTAAGGAAAATCTGCTCTGCAAGTGCAGTTCTCTGTTTACTCTGTTTGCTATATAATATTGCTATCTGAAGCTTGGTGCAGTTAAAAGATTTAGGATTTAGGTCCTAATCCTAAAAATAGCTTAAAATTCACAACATTTTTAAAAGTATAATATCGGAACCTTTTTATTTGTCTTCTAGATTTTGAATTATTTCTAGAACACGTTTTTTTTGGCTTTATTGACAATGAGGAAGACCATAAACTGATTATTTTTGTAATGAAACTTAGATTTTCACATTGGTATGTCGACCCAGAACCTTTGTCTAAGAAAAGCTCCAAATATTATAAGACTCATTATTAAATTGTGAGAATTGGTAACAAAGACTGAAATACATTACTGATGGCCTTTCCCATCAGCCCTCCTAAAAGAAATGCAAATTAAATGCATGTGTTTTTCCACTGATTAGAGTGAATAACTTCAGGATGTCTGAACACTAAAGTAAATGTGGTCTTCCTAATGGATAATTATTAGCTTTAATTATTCCAGTGTGTCTAGCAAAAAGGAGTATCTCAGCAACCCCTTTATATATATTTACTTTCTAGTTCTTCATAATAAAGAATCTCATTTGTGATTAATGAACATGAAATCATTTACATGCAGCATTCTGAGGGCTGGCTGGATCTACCTTTCAGTTCTGAGGGACAGATTTCCTTGTTTTTCTGTCCACATCCTACCGCTGGGGCTGTCCCAGTAAAATATGTCCGATACTAAAGGTAAAAGGGACAAATGGAAGCTGTCAAACTCCCTATGATTAAAGAGCAGTTTTCATTACTATTTCCTACTTTGGAATATTAACCAGTAAACACAGGGACAAAATGAGGAAGGCAAGGATAAAGGATGAGCTGTACCTGGCAAAGGAGGTTAAGGACAACAAGAAGAGGTTCTGTAAGTATGTTGGCTGGAAAAGAAGGACCAAGGAAGCTGTGGGTCCCCTGTTAACAAGCCAGGGGAAACTCCTGACTAAAACATACAAAGAAGGCAGAGCTACTCAGCAGCTACTTTGCCTCAGTCTCCACCAAAAAAAATTAATAGGGA